AAAAAAAACAGACCACAGCAATATGAATCATCAGCGGACCATTGCTTCGAAATATTCACTACTTTCTGCGCTGAATGCAAAAAAAAGACAATGAAGAATTGCTCTGATAATGATATCGACGACAATGACAACTGAACGATAAACGACACAATATCTGATGAAATCATTTGAAAAAATACATGTCAAGCGATTATGCGGCAATAAATAATTCAACGGAACTTGCTTCACCTCTCTTGGAAATCTTACATATTATGTAGGAGAAATACCTGTTAATATATTAGTCAGAGAAATAAAAAACTTTCAAGAGATTAGAGTAAAAGAAGTTTTGTTGAACACAAAAACATGCAGTATTTTAAGTATAAAATTAAAACATCCAGTATAAAATTACATTTCAAGCCAGAACATTGATAATCTGCACCCAGCTATAAATTATACACACACATAAATATAATAAAATAAGATATTCGTATCAATCAAACAGAAAATCGAAAAATTCAAAATAAAACTTTGATTGAAATTGCAATTCCAAATTCGCTTTCTACTCATTCATCCGTCCACCAACTAACCGTCACCATACACTCACGATCGATTCAGCTGAATTGTTTCATAACAACCAATTCGCCCTCATTCCGTCTACTTACCCACTCCAATCTCCACAAATTCATCAACGTCTTCTGATTGAAACTGAACCATAACCATTTCGAAGCATAACCAACTCAGAGAGATGTTGGTTTGATTGAAGAAGGAGTCGTCACATTTGCACTCCTCCCAGATACATCTTGAAGTTTCTGTTGAAGTTCTAAACGAATCTGTGCCAATTTACAGCGTTCCATTTCCAGTTCCTCATTCAACTTCTGCAACCGACAGCAACGTTCCTTCCAGTTCACGTTATTCGCGCTCGTGCCCGACCCATTCTTCTCACTTTCACTCATCGCAAAATTCTCATCAGCAAGCAACTGTTCGATACGTTTCTCTAAAACAACACGAACAATATCAAAAATATTACATCATTCTTAGGCATGATTAGAGTTCGCAAGGTGGCCATCCATCAAAGCTCGAAATTTGTGTTACTGATAATCAGTGACTTTCAGTAAGTTCCCATATCAACGAATTTTGACAGATACTTTTCAACAGGTAACACCCTATTGAAACTGTTAAATGAAACGTATCAAACGTATCTGTCAAGAATCATCAACTGCCAATTATCTACAATCACCACTTAACAAAATCATCAGCAGATAATAGGAAAGTACAAATGATATTAACGACAAACACATTCCTAAACGACACTCTTACACCGACACACGTGCTAATTGCCTGCATTACAAACTTAAAGTGAATTTCGCAATTGTCGTATCAAGAAAATAAAATGCAAAAAGATACCAATATTAGTCAGAATAAACAAAGATAGAACAGAACTGACCCAATTGAACATTGAATTGGATGAGTTCAGGTTGTTGCGTTAATGAAGATGCAGACATGTGTTTAGAGGATGACAACGATAGTGGGCGATTACGACTCGCATCAGTTGAATCTTGATCGTGCTCAGTTTGAGTCTCGGAATCTTGAACTGTGCACCGTCGGGGTGGAGGTGGAGCGGCGAACGACGGTCGTGCACTCAACGGAGGCGTTTGCAATCCGCATACTCAAATAATCACTTACTTTGAACCAATTCTATCGTATCAGTAAGCTTCACAAATAAGCGATAAAATAATAAAGAACAAAAAAAAAAACGCATTCATAAATAACAATGATGATGACAAATGATAACAGCAATAATAACAATAATATCAACGACTCATAAATGAAAAGTTAAGATGAAAGTAATTAATCTGAACGAAAACGACACAAATGGGAAAGCCGCTTATGCGGACGAATGTCGAAGGAAAGAAAAATCAAGAAACGATGTTGTGGTCACTGAAGATCGGCCGACCAAAGTAATCAAGATAACAAATGACAGAAATAAACCTTGAGAAACAGATGAATGCGGTGGTAGTATATTCGACGACTGCGATATGGATGATGTCGAAGATATCACCGATTGCTGTTGCTGTTGTGAAACATAATTAGTTGCACTATTATTGTTGTTGAATCGCATCAATGAAGATTGTGTTGGAAGAGTGCCGCCACGTGGTGTTTGCGCCAACATCATACCACTATTCATACCATTTGCTGAACTGAAAATTTTTGCAAAAAAAAATTTTAATTCCACAAAAATTTCCACACATTCTGATATCGTCAAACAGTATCAACTACTTCATTGTGCAAAATAAAATAACATAAAAATATTCACATCTACGTTCAACGCAAACATCTGCAACGAAAACGAACCAAACAAGTTTTGTATTTGCAAGAGTGTTCAGATCAAGACTGGCACTTCGACCGTGTCCTTTGCTTGATGGTCTTGGAGGGGGCTTAGGTGGTGGTCCTTTGGGAAGCGATGGACTTAACGTTAACCGCAGTGCTTCCTCATTCATCAACTTCAGTGATGATGACGACGATGGAGGTGGTACTCGACTGGCAGTGATGGCTGTCGGTTGAGATACTGCTCCGGCCGGTTGAGTGCTCGGACAAATTAACGCTAAAATTACTCATTCATTCACAGCATTCATTTATTTACAACAAGAAATTATCAAAAAACATATTCGTTTTCACAGAGTCAAAATAAATGAACGAACGAAACATATCACTTACGTTGTGTAGCCTTTAAAGCAGTTGGACGTCCGTCCACCAATAAGGGTGGAACATCGGAGAAATCACTCAAATGCTCGGGTGTTTCCTGAATTTTGAATCTGATTATTCATCACACTCAATCGTGATCAATTAAAATCAATATTACAACTATATTAACGACAACAAGAGCAAATCGCGATCCATAAAAAAACAATAATACAAACCGATTTATTGATATGAACATGTAGGTGATCATCACTCAATGAATGATGGTGTTGTTGATGATTGTTTACATTATTACTATAAGATGGTTGCACGGTTTGAGCATTATCCCCTTTAGATTCATCAAAATCGAATTGTTTCCAATTACTTTGATTCGTTGCTGGTACTGACTGATTGGTAGTTTTATTTAGCATTCGTTGAGGTGTTAGGGGTGGACGAATCGAATTCGGTAGATGATCTGGCACTGGGATTTTACCCTGGAATAAATATATTTTGCATAATCAATACATAAACACCGATATGAGTAAGGTATGCAAATGAAGCGATCAATAACAAATCAGCTGACTGATGACACAAGCAAACAAAATGAACCTTGAGATTTAGAACAATTAAATGCATCGCTGTTGAGAATTCGGCTAAATCCAAAAATCCGTCAGCGTTCACATCACTCAATGTCCAAATTTTCGACAGTGTCTCCGTACTCAAACCACTCTTCTTGAAGAATTCCACCACTTTCTCATTCGCCCCGTGCACGGCTCCTTTCAAATCCACCATTCCCTTGAATTGAACGTCATTTTATGAGTGAATTTTGAAAGGTTCATTTAAAGAATCAGAGTAAAAACAAATGAACGAATGATTCGAATCATACAACTGACCTGAGTAAGTTCAATGAGATAGACAAAACATTTCTTATAGTAAGCTATTTGCTCATGACTCATCTCGAATAATGACTCATCGCTTATATTTGACGCTAACAGCCGTTCTTGCATCTTATCTTCATTTGTCGATCCTTTCTCTGATACTAACTGAAATCATCATGAGATCATTGCAACAAATAGAATAAACATTCGTAATTGTAATTAATTGAAAACCGAATCGAAACAAAAACATACAAAAGAGGATCATTACAAAATGAAACAAAAGAATGCAAACATTGTTGATGCTAGGGGTGTGCTGCGTTGCAGAGGTGTTGATATCATCAGAAGCTATATTCGCGCTATCGTGATAATCTTCGTCGTCTTCCAAGCCATCCTCTAATAAATTTCTTGTCTCCGTATCTGATACTCCTAAAAAAATTCGACAATAATATCACTGTTAATATCCTTATCATACCACGACATAAACCTTGAGACTGAGATCAATCGATTCACTAATCACATCACAAGTTATGATCAATATCCTTGTCGGCATTTCAAAATGTTCTACCAAAATTTCATCGAATCAATCAAACCACAAAATCCAACCGGCTTTTTCATCGTTTTCGTCGTCCTCCTCACTATCATCATCGCCAGCATCGTATTCTTCACTAGTCTCATCTTCTGAATCCACTAACGTTTGCCAATTCGACTTCTATAAAACAACAACCCCAACAGTCTTTAAGATTTTAAAAAATCTTCATTGAATTGAATTGATTAATATATCAAAATAAACAAACAACACAACACAAACGAACCTCTTTATTCGACGCATTCTTAGAACTATACAACGTTGCATCCTCTTTCTTCCTCTCTTCTTTCACCGCCTCAAATCCACCTGTCGCATTTCTATCGTCCTTCGCGTTCGAACCACTTAAATTGACTCATTNGCTATCAATTTATCAGTTGATATTCACAAATAATTAATGCATTTATGATGATAACGACAATATGTCACCTCATAATTTGATAATCAGATTTCTTGTCGTGTCTTTCGTAGGATCTCGGTGTTGTGATCGGTGGATATGAACTGTTTGCGGATGCTTGTTGAACATTTTCAGTGATGTGCATCGATGAATCTTTAATGCTTACCGGTTTACTATACAACGATAATTGTTCAGTATCGAAAGAACGATCGCCAATCACCTGTAATAAATACTATCATCACTGCGTATCTTTCGCAATAGACTGCAGACAGTTGAATCAATGAGGTGGACAATCTTAAACAAACCGAAGAGGACGGAGGTGCGTAGAATGGTGACGATGATGAAGTGTTGTGAATAGTGGAAGAAACTTCTCGCCATTGAGGTCGAATCTGGGCTGAGACGGCGACCAGTTGTTGGGTGGCAGTTGAATGAATTGCTTCAGTCGTCATCGTCGCTGAATGAAGCCTTGAAATGATCACTCTTGATTAATTACAGTTCGGCATTACGTAACATTTTGCGGATCTACTCAACACGCCAGAATTTCTAGAGACACAAAAAATTGGTTGTTCATTATTGCGATAGTCAGGTGACTGATGATGACAGCCGATGGTGACTGAAACGAATTTCATTTCCATTCATTTGCAATATTGATTCAACAACAACCTATACAAACATACGCCACTATCATAGCCAACAAATACACTTTGTATAATATCGCCTATTTGCTTCTGGCACAACAACCAACACACACATCATTCATGCATAAAACTATTAGTGAAATTGCTGTCGTTTAATTAATCTACACTGAGCATTACTCCCAACAGACACTCCAACTGATAAATGAGAATGACTGAAATTAATGTTAATATGGGGAACGCAACGATATCTCATAAGAATCATGGGCACTTTTGCTGCAAATGATGATTAAAAAATATAGACGATTGCGAAAGATTATGAGTAAATTGATAATTGAGCACGATGATTATAAAGTTAAAAAAAACAACTTGACCAAAACAATCGATTAATCCATAAAAATAAATCGATTACAGATATCCAAATTTTATAAAATAACAACGGATATATTCCTGTATCCCACATCATCCATTATCTCGAGATATACAATCGCGGACATGTCGCCAACAGCTATTTTGGCAGAGCAGCTTACGCAAAGGAACAGTGACAAGATGCATAAATTTTTGACAGTAAGAAATTTAATGAATTTCATCGCACTAAAATAAGGAATCGCTACGTTGAATCGAAAACACTGGCATCGCAAACTCATATTACAGACTGAAAGTGCAATGCACTTGCATGGAACACCAAGAGTTGATAATTCAAACTAACGATGTCCTTAGTATTGCCGAGTAACTTACTATTAGTCATTTCATCACATCACTGCATTCCCCAGATTCTCTAGTTTCAGAAATGTATATATGTTGTTGGACGATTTTGCTTACGTTTAGAGAAAT